GCGCAACATCCGGTTTGCTTCCGTGGTAGACTTCCCACGGGGTCTTCCCACCAGCTCGCCGTTTAGGGTGAAACCACTGAAGGTAGGCCGTCGTCTCCACTGCCTTCGGCCATAACGACTTCGGAAGGCCTGAGTCAGCGAGTAGGGCGCGAGCGAAAGAGATGGTGGTACGTATTCCACGTTCAGCGACACCGTTCTGTGCTGAGGAGTGAGGAGTCGTTACCTCCAGGATAATCCCTTCTTCGCCCAAAAATGAGTCCCACGCCTCATTAATCCACTCGCGACCTCCATCGACCCGGACTTTCTTGACCTTGCAGCCAGTCTGGGTCTCGATTTCTGACTTCACCCGTTTGAAGGCGTCCAGCGATGATGAGGAAGTCTTGTCCTTCAGGAAGAACGCCCATGGCCCACCACAGAAGCCATCCACGGCATGAAAGACCCAGCGTGCTCCCCCTACGCCGACTAATTGCGCTGGCCCCCACAAGTCGATATAAACCCGCTCCCCAATTGCCTTCTCTGGCTCATGTACCCCATCAAAAGGTCGTCGTGCGTGTTTCCCAGCAAGGCAGTCTTCGCATAAGCCGTGAGTGTCCCCTTCTCGCACACTCATGCCGTTGACATGCTCGCCCTTCACAAGTGCATCCATTCCACTCTCGCCGATGTGTCCGAGACGTCGGTGCCACGTCTCTCTGTCAGTCGGGGCCTCTCTCGAGTTCGCAGCCGCGACAGTCACATCGGCGTCGTCAAAATCCAGGCGATACATTCCCCCTTCAAGCTTCCCTTCCATGAATGGCTCTCTATCTGGCGTCTTGAAGGTGGCTTTGCCCTTGCGAAACTCGACTCCGAAGTCCTTCTCATCGAGGCGCGAAATGGATATCAAGTTGTAGACGATATCGGGGGTGTGCAACGCATGCAGAAGAATCTCTTTGCGGCGTCCATTATAAACGTAGGTTTTCTTCACAGTGCCTCGCCCAAGTATCCTGAACTTTGATCCTTCTGCAGCGCTCCCTTCGCTTTCGGTTGCGACATAGTCGACAAAATCTTCGCGACGCCAGAAACAATGGTCAGTCGCAGCAGAGTCAGCGACGACGATGTATGAGCGAGTGGTTGCGATTGCCATTACGTTCACACTGGAGGGTGGGGCCCCCAGATGGCTTGAGTACCATTCCGCGATGTCGAAACCAGGGGACGGATCGTCAATCCACACCGAGGGAAAGCAGACGTCTCGGTCGAGCACATTGTCGAGAAGAACGTGCTCAGTCTCGGATGTTCGGTACACCACGAAGCGGTCTTCGTGGGCAGTGGTGCCAGTGGGATCTCCCGGATAGGGTTGGCCACGTTGAAGTGCGAGTGCGGCGGCCTCTTCGAGTGAGTTCAGAGCTCGATAGTTGTCGTTGTCGAATACTGACTCTTCGTCGTCAGTATCGTGGTCGGGGCATATGCAAGACTCGGATTCGCTGCCGATAATGGAGTAGGAAGCATCTGAATCAAGGTACTCGATCGAAGAGCTCGACTTCACAACGCGAGGAACGGTCACGTGGGTGGTCGCGTCTGATGCCTCGCGCCAGTTCATGACTGTTTCTGGCGACGCCAATACTTCTTCACCCTGGAACTCGACAGACTGGGTTCCGTCTGGGTCGTAGGAATTGATGGTCGCTGCTGGGATGGACCATGTGGTGGAATCAACACCGAGCGTATATGCAACGAAGGCATAAGTATCGACTGCGTTTGCCGCTGGTGCTGTGGTTGACCGTTTCCCCTTCCACCACGATGGCCACTGGCCCTCCTTTCCCCCTCCGGGCCAGAAACAGTCGCCGATTAGGTGACCTCTCTTCCCTTCTACCCCACAGCGCGGGTTGATGCAAACCAGGTTACGGCGAGCTGCACGTCGGGCTGCAGCTGGATTTGCGTCTGCGGCTAGGACTTGCGCTGTCGACTGGGACGTTGTGATTACCCGGTTGTTGATTCGTTCAGAGTGCATGACGATTAAGCTTATAACCTCCGCAGATGACTGGAGCGGGTATAGCTGAGGGACAATACTATCCCACTCTTCGCCTAGCGATCCGATAAATATGATACGGAAGGCGTCGTCGGTGACGTTGGCTCCCTGGTCATTCGCGTTTCGCCACAAGGTTCGCATACACGCGATATGCTCTTGCATCGGGGTCCCTGGCTGGAGGAAATGCGAAACCAGTTCGCGGTTGGCCTGAATCAGCGCCATGGCATTGACGCGTTTGTGGTTGTCTGTGAGGGATTTCCAGGCTTCGGCTGCACTACCGTCCGTCTTCACTCCTAATCCAATAGGGTCTTTGACGTTTAGGATTAGCAAGGCCTTTGCCATTGCGTCGCGATGGACCCATTCGTCAAAACTGGGTGTACTGGAGTAGATGGATGTGGGGTCTGGGGGAAGCGGGACTGCCGCAGGTGGTATAGTGGTTGCCGTCGTCGACGTCGTTTGTGGGATAGGGGCAGGAGGGGTCGGTTTAGTGATAATTCCTAGGATGTATCCGCGCAACCCGCGCGCATCTGCAATGGCCAAAAACTTCGTCTCGAAGCCTACAAAGCCGTTGCCGTCGAACTTCTCCCCATCTGGGAGAATAGTCAAGGAATTCGAGTTGGCGCTCATCTCGAATCAAGTCAGGGGCTGCGACTGCAACGAATAAGTCGGTGCTGGTCTTCGCAGGTCAATTCGTGAGTCGTACTATATCAGGATGTGTGTCTCGAGCTGTTCAGATCTCTAGTGGTTACGCGCGGGGCCCATAACCTGTAGAAATAACACTCAGTCGGGACACCTTGGTGGACGACTGTATTTATACCTGTAGAAATAACACTACACTTTGTGTGAGATATAGTAGAAGTAAGTAAGTTGGAGCGTACCTCAGTCGGGACACCTTGGTGGACGACTGAGATACGCTCCTGGGTTACGTCGAGTATAAGTATGCGATCGGGGAGATATGAAATGGTATCGAGGGGGATAATCGGTGTCAGTACGCGTCTCGAGAACGAGACGCGCGGCTATATGGCCAGCCGTGCCACTATTCAACAGCTGTTAGGGAGTAACAGTTGCCGGTAAACATCTTGGACAACATTTCTCCTCCGTGGACCCCAAACCTTGAACGCCGCTAAGTTCCCGCCCGGCGCCGATCATCTGCGAAGGACGGAAGTCGGAAATCGGTAAGCTCAACAACTCCCTCGCCACGGCGCAGGTCTATCTGTTTCTAGAAGCAAGCAGGCGGCGGGTTGGGGGCGGCGTTGACGAGAAAGAATGCACAGCTAGTCATGTTAACGCAGCAGCTTTGCACCCGCAGCGCGCCATGCGAGTCGGATGGCTCGAGAAGGCACCTTTGTGCGCGGGCGGGCGGTATTCAGATAGTGGGAATCCCGGACAATAAGCGGTGATCCAAAATACCAACGAGTCGCCGACCTCGCCAAGTGCGCGGATCCATCACTCGCTAGCTGACACATCCGCACGTGGGTGTCACGCCGCGTGCCACGTCATGACTCAGTTTTTCCCTCCCACCATGGCTCGCTCGCACACACGCACGCACCCGCGCACTGTTTCGCTGCCGGCCCGTTCCTCCACGGCCCGGATGCGCCGAATGACACGAAGGATGGCGCCACCGCCCGCCCGTGTCGGGATGTGTGTCCTGAGGAAGCGGAGCCTCGACACTGGTATGTCGTTGTTTGTCCACTCAAACCAGTCTGCGATCATCTCGGACTGACCTCTGGCTAGTATTGTGTTCCTGCCTCGCCTTCTTGGTTTGAACAAATCCTCGACCCTCCGACACGCCGGAGACATGCCACCCCTCGATAATACATACTGCGAGACTTCCCAGCGTCACAGCTTTTGCGTCCGGCCCTGCTTCCGGCGTTATACTATGGACACTTCTATAGTCCTCGCTCGCGTAACTCATATCTCAAACCATACCGCACCTGGACTTGCTTGCCATATCTGTCGCGGTGGAACACCTTCCAAAACGACACCCAGATGCACAGCCCAGTATCGGGACTCCCTTCACCCGTGTGGAAATCACCCTGCGGCGACCAGCTTCCTTGTGCTTTCCGGGCGCGAATCCCAGTCGTATATGGCTTTTGCAGACAGATGATTCCGAATTTGCCCGAGTAGGTGGTGATGCGAGTATCGATGGCAATCGTGGAATCACACATGATGAAGAGCTGACGGTACTCAGGTCCGCGTAACACGGACCTGACGAGAGATCGGAGCAGAGGCGGCGAATCCCCTCGGCACGGAATGAAGCCGCGATTTCTCTTCCCCGTACGCGTCATCGATTAACCTTGTCGACGGAAACGTAGCCGCCAATGATTACCCCAACCTCATCTTCCTCGCTTACTTCGCCATCCAAGAGGTCTTCATTCCTCCCATGTGCTATGCCTCCTCATCGCGGACGAAGGTCTGTTCGCAGACTGCACCCACCGTCTATCTCAGGCTGTCGGCCAAATATCAATGGGGTGGACATCCTCCAGGAATCCCGGCAACGGGAACGGAAGATGCAGGGAAAGAAAGAAGCTCTATCCCTATTCTATCGTCTTTCCACGTCAAAACTTATTTGTGGTCAGCACAGTCCATACGAATCAAGTCGCCGCGGCCCTTGACGTCGGTGCCGATCGGATAACTTTCGACTCGATGGCCTGTGTCGGAAAACGAGCAAGGGTGGGCGGGTCCGGCCCGAGAGCAGAACGTCCGTTGCGTTCGGCGCAACGGGCAGGCATCGTGAGGGTAGTTGGTACGCAGCTTGCGCTCGACGCAATGGTTGCATTAAGCCTGAACGATTGCAGACGGGCGTGATCTGCCGCGTCGTTGTCCATGGCTGGTCAGCTCCATTTACTTCATCTGTTTGAGCTCCCGCATCTGACATCAGCTTCATTCAGCGTCAGCATAGTGCACCGCCCCTGTTACGAGAGCAATCTTTGTGAGATCTGGTTAGGCTAGATGTGACAGGTTGCTGACAGCGTTTCTATAAACAGGCACATCCTTTATAATGTTCGTCTGCGACGGTCATCCCGCAACTTCCCCACCGCAGATACTAAAGTCACCATCACCAATGCTCCCCTACTCATACTCGTATTCACCGCAGTCGCAGACGACGCGCGAGCGCCGTCAGTGGACCCAGGAAGAGGATGCCCTACTGCGCCAGGCCGTCGATCGCGGTAGGCACCACTTCCACGCTAAGGAAAAGTGCTAATCTGTTCTCCTAGAGGAACCAGGTAATCCAACGCCGTCCAAATGGCACGCGATCGCGCAACATGTCCCGCAGCGCACCAACAAAGACTGTCGCAAGCGGTGGTACGCAAAAATGAACTCAGACGTTGTCAAGGGCGGGTGGGCTCCGGACGAGGACGCGCGTTTACTGCAGGCGATTAACGTCTACGGTACCCGTTGGTCACTGGTGGCCTCTATGGTGCAAACAAGGAATAGCGACCGTGAGTATCTGCATTTCTATATTCATTCTTCGGCCCGAAGTATTCATTTCGCGGGAATAGAATGCGCTAAACGATGGTGCGACACGCTGAATCCCGCCATTGACCGCACGGCGTGGACATCGAGTCAGGTTAGCATTGGTGCCTTCTTACTCACGGGCCCGACGCTGACCGTGGCTTTGTAATGTCAGGATGACCTGCTGATCCAGGCCGTCGCCGAGTACGGCAAGGTGTGGACAAAAATTGTGCAGATGTACTTCCCAGGGCGCACGGGCCTTGCTGCGAAAAATCGGTGCGTATCAGTGCTTTCCGCTTTCCTATGATATCTATACTGATTTTGGATTAGATATAACAGCGTAACCCGCTCTGAGGGCTCGTCCTCCTCCCGCCGGCGCTCATCACCCGATTCTACGCCCAGTCCCTCGGCAGACTTAGATGCTTCAGATGCAGAGTTCGCTGAAGCCTTCATGCAAGCCTCTGTTCAGGCGGGCTACACCCGGCCCGCGCCATACCCGATCTCCAGGCCACACTCCCGACTTGCTCACGGGGACTTCCACGCTGTCAGCGGGCGCAATGCGGGCATGGCGGGATACGCGCCTAGCGAGGACTTGTTCGCGGCCCCCTCTGCCCACGGTCGCACGGCGGGATACTTCTCGTCCACATCTCCATCTCCCTCTCTGGCCCCGGCGACGGCCTACCCATCTCCGCCGACTCCACTCCCGCCACACCAGTATGGCTACAACAACGCCAGTTACGATACGCCACCGGGAGCGTTCCATCTCTCGAATGACCATCGGGCACAGGCTCGGGCGCCAGCATCACCATGGGTGCGTATCTGCCGTGGTCGTTTCCCGTCGGAACCTAATTCCTTCCAGGGCCCTTATTGACTCGACCATATGATAACCTTTAATTTCGTTATTCACGAAGGACTGCTGCTTATGCACTACTTATTTACATACTTACTTTTTGCAACGTTTATGCGTTTAGGACTTCCTTATATGTACATGTACCAACGTATAATTGTATCGCTACAACATTGGATTCCGCGTTACCCTCTTCTTGGCCAACGAACATGCAGACGGTGCTTCCTGACGAGTCTCTCCCGCACTGGATCATGGACTTGTGTGAAAAGGAGTCGATGCAATCACGCTGCGCACACGAGTACCTGGGGCCCGGGCTCCGTCGAGACATGGTCCGTGCCGGGAGGTAACAAGCATTATGTCATGCGCACTAGCACGGGCGTTGAACAACAGATGGGGCGACGCGAGCTGAATCCAATGGACTCGGATATGGTGTGCGTTATGCCAGCCTTGCGCCCACTGCCAGCGCCGACTCGCATAATTAAGCTGTTCGCGCAACATTGGCTACATTTCGTGCGCGTGGACACCTGGCAGTGACGCCGTCACTCACCTCACTGTGCCATGCGAGCGGGTGATTAGCGCTCCATTCGCAGATCGGTAATTGATTACCCATCGCACGCCACATGAATGGCGTGTTGTCGAGAACGCTCGCAACCGTCGACGGAAGGCATTGACCGCAGCTCGGACTCTTCGGCCAGCCCGCGGCCGTCGGCCCATCGGGGGTTGGCTAGGTGCGGGGCGGCAGATGGCGCCAGATACCGTTTGTGAGCATGCCTATGAATAATCCGGCATGTGATTGGTTGGATGAATGTGACAGGATTTAGTTGTTGACGTCAACGCCGTCAAACTGGTGTCGTCGTCAAGGAAATGAGCATTTGCACGACTCAGAATCAATCGGTATATGGTTTACTAGAAATGCTCAGTGCCAGTGCGTCTGAGTCAAATGGATGCGACTCAGAAGCCTAAACGGGTATACCATGAAACTGCTTAGTACGGCTCTCCGCGGACGTCCGGAGACGAATATGCTGATGGCATCGCCATCTTCGCCGTCGACCCCCAAAACACAGATTACATCATCTTGAAAATACTTTAAGTGAGGCACACACACCGACTCCGAGTAGCGCCGATCCCGCAAATCATCCCTCGCATGGCCAGCCCTGACCGGTCCCAGGGTAGCGGCTAGTTCGATGACGCGTCCCGGCGTCTGGCAAGGAAGATCTTACACCCGGGCCCTGCGTAGCATGTCAGCGCGTGTACTTAGGTCAACACCTATCAGACAGCTGCACTACTATAGTACTCAAGTCTCAAGCCGTGGTCCAAAATGATGGGTGTTTATTAGTAAAGTAAACTGGTAGAAGTTTTGTTGCTATGCACAGAGGAGTCTGAGATGACTGTTCGTCAGTTATGTAGATAAGTACCCATATTAATGCAAGAGCAGATATTTCTGGTTGACTTGAAATCTTTAAACAATGAAATTCATTAGACATCTAGAATTGAAATGGGAAATCTTCACCTATTAATCCCCCATATCCCTTGTAATTAGAATATACACTACAGTAATATTTCTATAAATGGCCCAATGCTGCAATAAATAGATTTTAAATCTCAAAATGATAATAATAATAATAATTCTAGGATATATTTGACGACTAAAACAGTAACCTATTCTGCAATATCAGCTATAAATATTATGACTCGGATAAGCTAACAGATCATTGATGCTTGCTGAAAAAAAGATAATCTCAGTTGCAAAGCACTGTAAGTGCTCCTTACATTCTATTACACAATGTCATATACCAGTGTTGGCACATATTTCCTCAAAAGAAAATTTCACAGTTCAACAGCAGAACCATCAAAGAATATATAATTATACATTGTCACAAGAATCCAAGTTCCAATCTTTACAATATCCTTTGATGCATCTTGCTTACCTTCACTGGCCAACTGGCATCTTTTGATTTGGTGTTTTGATTTAGTGTTGTTTGTGACATAATTCAAAGACTATCCTTCTACCTTTGTACTGTTGTACCACCTCCTAATTACCACCACATCAAAAACCCTTGTCCTACATTACTATTGTCAAAATTTTCCACATCCCTTGCCTACACCCCTGAAAATATTGTGTATAGACTCTAATTTCTGTAGTTCATAACCCTATACTTATGATGGGAGGTGAACATATTGAAAAGTTGATATGGCCTGCCATGTGTGTTTGAAGGCTCCAGGTATACACATATACATACCATAATTTTAAAAAAAAATCCAAAGGTTGAATTCTTGTGCTACTGTACTATTTAGATCAAGTGTCCGCCGCGTGTAACGCGTAACGGACACTGTCCGCTGGACAAGGTGTCCGGATTCCCGAAAAAGGCAAGTCCGAAAAATTTCCTTTTTCGGCCTGTTTTTGATGGGAATCCGGCCTTGAACGCGTAACGGAGACCACAAGTGTCCGCGCCGCGACCGCATGTAACGCGTAACACGGACACTTGATCTCTTGATCACATCAGTGGTCACATGATACTGATCATGGGAAAATATTGCCCTATATGGTTGTTGGCACCTTTTTGCATGAAGAGAAGCGGTACAATGGATGATTCAAGTGATGGAGTATGTGGTATACTACACCTTATATGCGTGGCCCTACTGAGGGATAGTTAGACGCCCTCTAACCCTCCTGCTCCTCCCTGCATCCCTGTCCCTAGCTGTAGAGGAGACGATTATATTTCTCTCGTCCGCTCCAGGCACTACTCCTAGTCCTCCTGGTCCTCTCCATTCCCCTGTTGACATGAGTTGGGACTGCTAGACTCGGCTAGAGTTAGAGAGGCTTTAAAGGAGGGTTGCCCGATAGTCTCTATCATGCTCTGAATTTTTCATGCAACCAATATGTCAAATACATCTAAGGATATACAAAGTAACTTTCTGTTGAATATATTTATAATATATATATATATATATTGTACAGCTGAATACAATTATACTATATGACAGAGATATTATTATGTATGTTGAAGCTTTCAATATGATGTGATTATGATATATTATGTCCTCGAAATAATATAATCATATTTGGGCAGCACTATTGACTACATCTGGGATGCAAACTTGGTAGTAGCATGTTCATATCAAAGTCATCATTGCCAGTGGACACTGGACTAATCGCAGACCACGCCACACCCTCTCAACAGACATGGATTGTTTGCTCAATAGCAATGGCAGGCGCCGGAGGCAGTGCATGTCAATTTGCCATAGTCACGCATCAGATCGGGAGAAGCTATGTCATTGTACTAGTACCCGTCAGACCTCCAGTCGCCAACCACAACCCTCCTGGAGCCTGCTCCTCATCTCGGTGCTGACCGCCGCTTTCCATATCATCTGCATGGCAGCGCTCCCAACAGCGTCCAGTGCCCCGTTGTCTAACCTACCCCAAAAGCAGATTCCACACCAGCGCAAGTTTGCGTCGCTCCCGCCTATTGTCACCCTCCCGACCCCCGGCTCTAGTATGTCTTCCGCCGGCGACCAGGTGCGCGTCCGTCACAAACAGATTCGTTATGAACGCTGACGTGTTGCACAGCAGCCCAGCCGGAGCGCTGTCAACACCCCGCCCGCGTCTACCCCGCGCACACCGCAGCTCCCCCAGCCCAGTGCATACGTGCCGAAGTGTTACTACCCGCAGCCGCCGGACCTCAACCCGTACTCGCACTACCTGCCGGAACAGGAACCGAGCTACACGATGCCCGACGCGCTGCCCGGCCCAGGCTCCGGCGCGTGGCCGCCCGGCATACAGGTAGCGCACACCGACCACGCGGCGAGCAAGGTCTCTACTCACCTGCACCGCCGCTGCTTCAACTGCTGCACAACGGAGCCGCCTTCGTGGCGCCGCAGCATCCTCTCCCCGGGCAAGGTCGTCTGCAACAAGTGCGGCCTCTATGAGCGCATGCACTCCCGCCCCCGCCCCGTGCGGCTTTCCCGCAAGCGCCGACTCATCGTGGAGAGCTCGCTGCCGCATGGCTCCGGCCTGACTGCTCCTCGCCGAAGGGCACCCCCGGGTGCGCCGTACCCACCGCCAAACTACCATCCCCGGATGGCGGACCCCGCGCCGACTGCCGTAGTCACTCCGCTTGTGCCGACAACATCCGCGGCCCCCAGTCCCGCCACTACCGACGACAAAATGGACGGCGATGAGAGTGCGAAGGATACCTCCATTTCCTAACTTATACATATTATATTGTAAGTATTGTCTGTCTGTTTGGATGTCTCATTCTTTTATTTAGTACTGTTATCTGCTATCTTATATGTTGGGAATCAAGCCATGAGCAGAGGGAGCCAACCAATAGGGTTAATGGTGGGAGAAACAGGAGAAGAAAGACTGTTTATGACAATGTAACTATGACAGGTATATAGAGGAATCAGTACAGGGGTAATGTACTGTAGACATCCTACACCCATTGCCCCTTTAACTAACAATACACATACAGTCAAAGGAAAATTACATTCACAGCATGATTCACAAATTGCATAGTGTGTATTATCATGTCTGTTACTTATATGTTGTGTGAATCTATGTGCCTATTTGGAGGAGCTTTGGTAAATCGGGCCCGACCAGATTAGGCCCGCACGCCTAATCAGGAAATACTGCACATGCCCACAAAATACGGCACATTGCTCAAAAGACTGCACTCTGCATCCCAAAATGCTGCACTATTTGTGCCGCTCAGCTTGCAGTCCAACAAGTTCAGTTCGCAAATGAGAGTTGATTTGAGTGTACCGTACTGTGTACAACTCTAATTATGCATGTCTACGCCTACAGTATTATCTAAGTCACAGCCGCCGCAAACGCGGCTCCCAAGACTTCCAAGATGTTTAGTGCATTCTAACTGACCGCGTTGGTCAAAAACAATTGCATTTAGTGGAAGGACACACCTCGAAGCGCCATTGTGCAGAATCACCGGCTGCGGACCAGTCCCCGGCCAGGGCGCAACTATATACTGGTTGTCTGTAACTGCCAATGTAGAGCGCAGAAGACTATGTGCGATGGTGAGGATCGGTTGGAGTATCTGAGGGGGTGTTGGTCGGATGCACTTCGGATGTGTTCGGAAGGTCTGAAGGAGGTCAAAGTGGGGGTTTCCCTGACAATTGCATACAATTTTTTTTTGGTATAAAAATATATAATATTATCTAATTAGGCAACTCTTGGAGCTGGAAAACATCAGAAATTGTCACGGATAAGACCCGGCCCGTCCGCTCTGGCGCTGGTGTCGGGCCATTGCAGGCCCGTAGCACGCAGCACGTGACGACGGGGAACATGCGCCCCAGTAGGAGGAACGCACACGTGGGAAGCACGTGACCGAGAACGACATGTCGAGCCGTCGCCGAGCCCAACTCGACACAAGGGGACTGGGGAGGAGTGCTAGGAGCTTAGGAGTAGCGCCTGGCCTGCAAGGGATGTACGATCGTCCCCTCTGCGGCCAGGAACGAGGGCGAGGAGGAGCAGGGGAGGCCAGGGTGTCCGATCACCCCTCTTTGCGGGCCTGCATATATAAGACGCGATAGTGTACCCTGTACTCTATCGCTTAGATCGTCTGAAGAACTACCTTATGGTGCCGCCAGGCTTGTCACATCCACTTTTGGACAAGGCGATGAGCTCAACACCTGATGTAGAGAAAGCTTATTCCTCTTATGAAAGTTATTGTATTAGACCTACAAACAACTCTGTTAGAGGGTTTGCCCTCAAACCTACAGGGTAAAATTTTGAGGCTTGCCAATAATTTTGTCTGCCCTGGGATTGAGCGGCTTAGTCAGCCATTAGTCAGCTGTCCCGATTTGGAGGTGACAAGCCCGGCGGCACCATACTCCGTGCAAGGAGGCGTTATCGACTCATCGGGCCCGACACGACCCGATTCAAACCTTCGACCACCGATAGCGACAAGGGACCGAGTTCACGGGCCCTTTCGGTTTCAATCTACCCCGCCCGCCATACTTGCGGGCCCGACTATCCGTCTGTTCTGTTCCGGGCGTGCGTTCTTAGGAGAGATCCTTGCACGGCCCGACCCGCAGTCTGACAGAAATTAACATTCTTGGACTTCGATTTGGTAAAATCTGTGTGACATGTGAAAAAACTTCATATAATAGTGGCACCGTGATGCAGGTGACACATGATATCCAACAGAGTAGAATGCTACTATACTAACATTAAAACATTAAGCAATAATCTCATCTATAGTATTGGAAAATATTTAGAGACTGATTTTTGTATCTGAACTTTATGGTTCAGCAGGCCTGTGACCCGTGATAGTTTGGCTGAAATTAGTAATTCAGCCGCAGGCCTCTTTCATGTGACATAGTACCCAATTAGAGACTCCGGTGCACCATAGGCACAAAAACCTTAGCAAATTTCCAAATTGGGCTGCTTTGGGACTGAAAAAAAAAAAAAAGCTATGAGGTGGAATATATTGGTCAAAAAATTCAATCTGACTGTGAATTTGTCATCTTGCCTGCACAATCACCGATCCATCTACGCCCTCCCCATGGTCGCCCTGGGACCTCACCTGTGACGCTGCCCAAGCCTTCTGTGCCCGACAGCGGCAGCTACGGACAAGCAGTATATAGTCAGCTCCCTAGCAGGCGGACCCTCGGAGTTTCTTCTCTTTAGATCCTCCTCTCTTTGGATCCTCCCCTGCTAGGACCTTGATCTCAGGCCTCCGGGGTTGCCCTTACAGAATTGAATTAAATAGGTCAATAGTTTATAATTCTCAGTGTCACAAATTGGTGTTTTGCCCGGTGCTGTGCAGAACAGAGGGGGCTTCTACTATAGTCAACAAGCCAGTAGCTGCCTGACACAAATAAACACAAGACCAACCAGATCGGAGCAGAGTCACAGCGGTCAAGAACTGCAACTGGAGTGAAGTCTAGTTGAAGGACAAGCCTCATGCCGACAACAACAAGGGAAACTGTCAATCCTCTCCAACGGTTTCTTCTCTTCGGATCCTGCCCTGCTAGGTCAGCTTCATTTGTATTTGCTTACCAATGTTCATGCTTTGGATCCTCCCCTGTAATGTCTGGATCAAAGAAGGTGACGAGTGGAAGGCGGCTTTCTGGACCAAGGCCTGTTTGAGCCCTTGGTGATGTATTTCGGCCTGAGAAACCCCCCCTGAGACGTTCCAAACAATGATGAATGACATTTTCCAGGGCCTCATCCTTTCTGGAGACGTTATGATCTACCTCAAAGACATCTTGATCCCCCATTCCAACCTTCGGAAACACTGGCAGATCGTTCAGGAGGTCTTATGGCAACTCTGAGAGGACAAGTTGTACCTTCGAGTGGAGAAGTGCGACTTTGAAAAATTGTCAAGCAAGTACCTCAGAGTCAACTATGTTAAACTGGACCCTGTCAAGGTCACAGGCGTTTCCGCTTAGCCAACTCTGGAAAACAAGAAGGATATTCCGCAGTTCCTTGAGTTCACTGATTCTACCGCAGGTTCATTCAGGACCTCTCGGCCCTCGCATGACCGCTCTTTGTGGCTCACCAAGAAGGACCAGCAGTGGACATGGGGCAATGCAGAGGCCTCCACATTTCAAGCGATCAAGGACGCAATCACCTCGGAACTGGTATTGGCGATACACATCGCGATACTGACATGTAGTGTTCTGCAGGGCCGGGCTACCTGGGCCCGGCCCTGTTTTGGGCCGGGCTTTCAGGGCTTGGGCCGGTCGACACCCCAGGCCCGAGCCCTGAGCCCGGCCCAGCCCTGCCAAGCCCAGGGCTCGGGCTTAGGCCCTGTCTGACAGCAAGGCATGTTTGTTTGGTCAATATACCTATGCAATGGTTGTAAAATCATGCTATACTAACTAGTTTACCCACTGGTGAGTTACTGACACCATGTTGAGCCATTGGACAGCCCAGGCCAAGCGAAACCAGCACAGATGATGCGCCATCACGCGCATCAACACACCGGTGGGCAGGAATCCGATGGACACTGCAGTCGGCAGGTGGCGATTGATCAATATTGATCCATGCAAACGCCGTCCCGGCCTGTCCAGAGGTCATTACCAAGCACCGATGTGACAGAAAGTCACATCAACCGTGCTTGCCGAGGCACCGGGCCTGACAGGGCCGAAGCCCCGGGCTCAGGGCTTGCCAACTGCTGAGCCCAAGCCCTGAGCCCTGCCAGGCCCGGTGCAGGGCTCGGGCTGGGCCGGGCTCCGGAGGGCCGGGCTGGGCCGGGCCTCAGGGCTTAAGCCCGGCCCTGCAGAACACTACTGACATGTAGCTGATAAGAATCTTGAACCCCTTGCATGTCTCAATGCAATAAAACTGAAGTTGCCCAAGCTACATCTCAATTCAATAGCATCAGCAAGTGGTGGACATGAATCTTTGTGTCATACTATTATGTACCACACTACATGCAAAGTTGTTTTACTGCCTTTGGAAAGCCTGTTTTCAATGTGAGGGAGTGCTATTACTTATTCTCATGACCAGCTGGCAGCATGCCCAAATGATTTGAAATTTTGTGGGCAGGTCGTTGAGATAATCTAGTATTACTATCCTGTATTGTAGAGGAAGACTATAAACAGCGGCTATGTAATACAATAGTATTTTACTCAGTTTACATGTCATGTGTCACACTGCTGATATTATTATTTTTTTCTATTTTTGCAGATTATACCGATTTAAGCAACAAGACGTCCCAAAACAGGCACAGAAACAATTCGAATTGAAATTTTTGTACTGAATGTCATACAGAAATGATATTCAAATTGAGTCAAATCTTATGATACAGTAATCATGCTGTTTGTTTTGATGCTGGGTTAACCAATATAATGCATCAATTGTTACTCAAAAATTAAAAAAACTTGGAAAATCATACTATAGTCTGGCCATAAGAGACAATCATAATATAGGTGAGATCCAATATTAATATATGTCAAAATTCATGTTTACCGGGATTGTGCTAGAGTTAATACCAGGTAAGAGCTTAACCTTGTGACACAGAGCATTTGGCAAGGCATAGAAGTGGGCCAGGTTTCGCTTCATCAGTTTCAAATGCTTGTCACTCACTCTAGTCAGAGCCTGCAAGCCCTGAGTCGAAAACATGTGAAATGGTGTATACTCTGGTTCATCAAGCGACTCAGTATTTACACATGCTGCAACACAATATGTAAATCAGCCCTAGCCTGACACACTGCAGGAGTTCGGGAATAAACGGCACCCTATTCGATCAATTATACACTTAAAATCCATGCACCAAAAAAGAAGTTTTTTTATGCCTCTATTTGCGCCCGAAAAAGATTGTTCCAAATTTGCCTGCTTATATAAGAAATAGATACTATAAACGGACTCAGTTTTGTCACCCACTTTGGGGGCAGATCAAACACCCTTTTGAGACCAGCTTTTGCATCAAAATGGGGACCAAAAAATATGGTCCAGGGCCCTGATATATATTATATAAGTGAATATACATAAATATTTTTGGTTCTTGTTTTGATACAAAAGTTGGTCTAGAAAAGGCTGTTTGATCTGCCTCAGAACCGGTTGACAAAACTGAGTCTGTTTATAGCATCTATTTCTCATATAAGCAGGCAAATTTGGAATAATTTTTTTTTGGGTGCAAATAGAGGTATTAAAAAATTTATTTGTTTTGGTACATTGATTTTAGGTGTATAATGAATCGAAACGGGCACTGTTTATTCCCAAACTCCCCCAGTGACAGGGCCGCACGATGTTCTAGCCGTTCAGGTGGACGAGATTATAATCCAGGGCAGCGGCGAACAAGAATGTAGCCTCTAGCACCGGCAGCGAACGGCATGCTAAGACCAAAGAATCCATATCCAGATTTATTGATCTGCGGGTTTCAGGTCTGGAAACGCTTCTCCCAGTGCTTCTGCCCATGCACCGTAGATCGTTTCGTTCTGCTTCCGCATGCCAATTGCCTGTTCGATATGCACAAATTCCCCGAGGGCATTCTCTGCGCTCGCCGTCTGCACACACACGCTGGCCGCCTCCACCCCATTGACCAGTCGGCCGAATACGTTGTCCGTTGCCACAAGCGCGCAAGGGCTATCGGAAGGAAGCGAGAACGTCAAGTTCCCTCCGTTGATATGCGCAAAGGCGGAGATAAGCCGTTGTTTCAGCCGCTTCACCGGCCGGTCGGCGGAAGAGGTATACCATGCCAACGAGGAGTTATCCCGGCCTGAACAAGAGACAATCAGAGTCATCAACAAAAAACGATGGGACATGGCCACCTAGACCGCTCGAGAGAAACACTGTGTCGCTGGGGCAGGTGCTTGAGGATTTTCCGTGTAGTTGGATGAAGGCGCATGTCGAAGATGGGCAGCTGCTGTGGGTGTATTGCCAATCACGTATAGCGACGTTGCCTGCAAAGAATGGCTCGCTCTGTCTTGTAGTCAAGCGTAACGAAATCAGCTTCATAAAAACCACGCACGTTATCATGGGCGGGGTCCGTTTTATAGTACACGGAACTGCCCTTGGAGACCACACAATCCGTCGGCACTGAATACGACATCCGCTGCCGGCCAGGGATGAGTAGGCTGCGCGCTGAGACGGCCTGAAAGAGCGCAGCGGCCTGTTCTGGCGTGTAGAGATCATACTGAGGATGGGGTGCAGACAGATGAAGGTCCCGCTTCACGGCAAGCGCGGTGGCTGGTACCGCAAAAATGCCCCAGCCCTTCTCATATACACCGTCGAGCGAGTATCTTTCCGCGAGTATGCAGAATGACTGGGAACTGCGGGAGTCGGTGAAGAGCGAGACAGAGTACAGATCGGAGATGGATGGGGAGATGACAATAGATGAACAGTTTCCGTCGACGGAGAGGAGCGCCTTGATAGCCCCAGCCCAGGCGGCCAGCTGGTCCGACGACGGCTGGGCTACCGCATAGGTTTCGGGAGTGTAGAACGCTGGGGGGACGGTGTACGCGTCGAAGCAAGCAATGACTTCCTGGAAGGTGGCGCCGTTGGTGATGCAGGGAATGGGAGTGGGCTGAGCCGGGTGCGAGAAGGGGGGAAAGAGAAGGGGCGCCAACCACGCCGGCGGCGACGTCTGCAGCCAAAGCATGCGCGACCAGATAGGCAATGAGCCAGTTGCTAGTGAGAGTGTCCCTCTCAGCCAACGCAATGAAGGTCCGCCAAAAGCTCACTTGTGGTTGTTGACGACCACGTCAGAAGCATGTCACACCGTCACGCAATATCATGTGACGATGACGTGGCTCTCCCACGCCCTGTCACTTGGTTTTCGCCATGACGGACCTCCAGCCACGGCTCCCGCCCGAACTCGAACGACAAATATTCGCGATGGCGGCGGCTCTTTATCCATCGATAACTGTCCCGCTGCTCCTGGTTGCCCGCCGTGTGCTGATTTGGTAACTCTTCGTTGCTTGCTGACACACACCGACCGCTAAATGCTTCTCGTCCAGGATTGAGCCCACGTTATATGCTTCCCCGATACTGGAGGAGAAGTCTCACCTGGATGCCTTTTTGCGCATAGTCGCGCGCAATCCTGAAATGGCGCGCGGTACTGTGCGACAAGTCATTCTCCCTTGTACTCCGGGAACAACGGCGGCTCAGGATGCCCTTCGAACCGCGCTGAGTGCTTGTAAAAGACTCGATAGACTGGCCGTCGGCTCCTGTATATGGTCTGCCGCGCTTCTAGCCGACCTTTCCGCCGCTGGCATCCGCCTCACGCGCTTTGCCGGCCACGTCACCGGCCACGTCACCGGCCACGGCACCGCTGGCGCTGCGCCCTTCTCGAGCTTACGGCTCCTGTTCGGCGCGGTGACACATCTCGAAGTATTTGACGAGCTGCGCGATGCGACTCCGCTGCTCACTGCTCTCCCCTGTCTCACGCACATCGCTATAAGCATGCCCTCAATCGACGGCCAACGGGCAGTAAACGACATAATGCGATCGCTGCCGCATCTGCAGGTGTTTTGCATCGTATGGAGCATCAACAGGTGGTCCACGCGTCGCAAATCCACGTCCCAGTTCGTATTCACAGACGCGCGGGTCGTTATGTGTCTCTATGAAGAGTGGTTCGATGCAATCGTGGACGGGCCCAGCTATTGGGAGCTCGCGGAAGGTCATGTTGCCAAAAAGGTCCGGCGCGAGATTCCGGGTGAGGTGTTGTGATTTACAACACATAATGGTCTTACTCGTTTTCAGATGATGAATCCTGGGCGAGCGTTGAATAGCGGATGTATACCTTGGGCTGTGTGGGTCCCGTCGCAGCATCAATATCAGTATTGATCATCTCCCGAGCCTGTAGTGCCACTCCTCATGTCGCCTGCACCCGAGCTACCGCCCGAGCTTTGGCTCAAGATAACCGCACAACTTCCCCGCTGGGCAGCCGCACTCTCTAGCGTGTCCTCCACTTCTCGTCTTCTCGACTCTATTGTAGAACCACATTCATGCTCAGCTTATAACTATATCAGAAGTCTCCCTAGTGTCCATTGAGCTTATTATAATCATATGCAACATCCATTGAAGAACTCGCAGTGCCGCGGCGCTGGGCGGAGGCGCACCCGACGTCGCACAGATCGACCCCGGCGCATGCAGTGATTCGAATGAAAGGCGTTACGAGACTTTTTTGAATTTTTTAGAGCGGTAGACTAAGCATTCGGGATACATACACAAACAAACAGTTCTACGATACGACAGCAGACAACAGCGCTAGACGAAACAGAGAGGGCAGGCAATACAAGAGGTATATAGATAAGGGTTTCTAAGCAGCGGCAGGGGCGTCCTTCTTGCCGTCGTCGCCGTCCTTTTTCTCCTCGGCGGGGGCCGGAGCGGGGACCGGAGCGGCGGGTGTGGCAGGCGCAGGCGGGGCGGACACGGAGGTCGGCGCGGGGGCGGGTGTCCCGGCGGGCGGCGCATCAGCCGGCGGGGGATAGTAGTTGGGCGGTGGGTACGGCGCGCCCGCCGGGGCCGGCGCCCGCGCCGCACTTCCCGGGGACGTCGACCCGGGGGCCGGCGGGAGCGAGCTCGTCGCGAGCGGGCCGCGCTTGTGGGGGAACTGCTCGGGGCGCGGGCGCGAGTGCGTGCGCTCGAACAGCCCGCACTTGTTGCAGAGGACCTTGCCGGGCGAGAGGTTGCTGCGGCGCCACGTGCTCGTGTCGGTCGTGCAGCAGTTGAAGCAGCGGCGGCGCACGCGGTCGGAGAGCTTCGTCGCGGCGTCGTCCGTGTGGATGACCTGCACGCCGGGCGGCGCGCCGGGGGCCGGGCCGGCGGAGAGGCTCTGCGGGCCGGGGCCGGGCGGGGGCAGGTGCTGCGCGTGCACGGGGAGCGGGTAGGGCATGGCGTAGCCGGGGTGCTGGTGCATCGCGTAGTGCGCGTAGGGGTGGCTCGGGTCCGGCGGCGGCGGGTAGCCCTGGACGCCCGGCGGCGGCGGGTAGTAGTAGCGCGGGTCGTACGGGTAGGCGCCGGGCGGGGGTGGCGGGGGGCCTGCGGGGTGCCCGGGTTGGACGCGGGCGGGGTGTTGGCAGCGCTGGGACGCTGTGTGACGTCTTAGCGGCGAGTATAAAGACATTGTGACGGACGCACCTGGTCGGCGGCGGAGGACATGCTGGAGCTGGGGCTGGGGAGGGTGGCGATCGGCGGGGGCGATATGGGCTTGCGCTGGCTATGCGGTGGGGGCGGGTACGAGGACGGGGCAGACGCGGTTGTGGGCGCTGACATGTACCAGTGGCGGGGATAAAACTTGTGCTCCTCCTATGCGGATCAGCGGGCGTTGGCGGGCGACGGGCGGGGGCGCCAAGCACAGCGGGGTGGCGAGCGGGGCGAGGGAGGGGGGCAGGAAGCGGTCGCAAAATGCCCCCGCCACGGCGATTATATACTATCAACACCCACGGCACCGCGACCCGCTGTCCCGGGTCCGCTCGTGGCATCGGTGATGATTCGCTGATAGATGTCATCGCGTGATCTTCTGATTGGAACACGCAACACCGAATCTATTGTTACCAACGGGCGTCGGCGTTCCGGGGGCCGGCGCCCTTTTCTCCTCCCTCCCTCCTCGCCTCGCCTCGCTCTCTAGCCCCCCGGGCGCTAAACACCCGGGGGCCACCAGCCTCCCCAGGCAAGCGTGCGGGCGCAGGCAGGGCCAGCGGGCGACGGGCGCCCAGTGAGCGACTGACTGAATGATGCACAGCATTGATATCACCGTTCTCCCGTCTGATCCCAGGCGCGCCCATTGGCTCCCGCTGCTCTGGTTCCCTAGTCCAACGCGTGGCCCGGCGCCTGCTATTCCCGGACAAGGGCATGCTGGCATCCCTCCTGCGCTAGCGATCGTGCAGCGCCAAGCACGCTCCAGCGGCGCGGAGATCAAAGGCGCACAACCCCGTCCCACCGCGCAGATAAGCCGGGGGCTTCCCACGTCATCCCCGCGCCGGGCCCGGCACGCCGCGTGGTGCATCACGCGAACACGGTGAACAGTTCACGCGAACACGATAAACAGTTCTCGCGCTGCCAGCACGCCGCGCCAGAAGCGCCTGCCGCGATCCGCTATCACGCGGCCTCCCAGGACGCTGATTGGCCATCGATGGCGTCTTGATTGGCCATCGAGGCGATGAGTCAGCGCTCCGTGGTCAGCGGCGCTGTGTCCGGCGGGCCGGGCCGGCGGTCCTGGCTACGAGCTGCGACAGCGGTATGCGCGGGCACGGAGATATAGAGAGAGAGCAAAAAACAGGAGACCTCTATCAAACTGTCAGGGCCGATGCCCGGGACGAACGGGTAACTGGCAAGTTTATGGTCGGCTTCCACTTGTGGGGCAGGGTGATCAACTTCCACCTGTGTGGCGGGGCTATTGGAGATCCTGGTGCCACTCACTGGCCTATAGCTGGGTTAGAACAGTGCAGCATTCAAGTCATTAGTCACAGTATGTTTAAAAAATAAACAATAAAAGAAGTCTGCACCAGACACTATAGCTAATGTCCGCACCAAATGGGCAACTGCCAACTTTAGATAAGAATATATGACAGGGAGCAGGCAATTCAGTCAGCTTGTACAAGTATAGAGCAGGTTCCCCGAGGAAGTATGATTAGGTCACAGGTATTCAAGCGAGAAGTCGGGATTGAGAAACATATGTGGTCCTAGCTGTCAATACATTCGAATATATTGCTTGGAAAGCAGCAACTCACTAGGTGATAAGCCTCCAAAAGGTCATTCTGAGCAATAGTTTTACAATTATGCTTATGCTCCTTCCATTGCACATAGTCTCTATACAGCAGTATATCTATACGCACGGAGCAAGCTTCGAAGTTGTCCAAGATGTTCTTATCCTTGAACTCCTCTGTCAGGGGAACCCCTGCTTCAGCCTCCTTCGGACCGTCCAAGCGCATCCAAGGCACATCCGACCGGCGCCCCCTCGGACGCTCCGACCCACCCCGACCATTGTCCACGGCCTCCTTCGCCCGCACAATCACCGATCCGTCAAGACCCTCCCAATGATCACCTTGGGACAGAGCCTGCGATGCCGCTCAGGCCTTCTGCGCTCTACGTTGGCAGTTACGGACGACCAGTATATAGTTGGCGCCCTAGCAGGCGGACCTTTAAAGTTTCTTCTCTTTGGATCCTCCCCTGCTAGGTCGGTCCCTCCGTGTATCTCCGTAGCTTTTATTCACGCTTTGGATCCTCCCCTGCTAGGCTTTCGTCGGAGTCTCCAGGGTTGCCCTTACAGCAGAAGAAACTCTCTACGGGATTAACCGGTCAAGATTGCCAGGTTTGGTGCTGACTCAGGCTCGGAGTACGAGTCCGTACCCCCCCTCGTCACCGCCCCTGCCACTTGACCCCTCCTCCTCTGCTCTTGTCGTCTTTACGCCCGCTATGTCTACCGGAGCTGCTCCAGACGCTGACGCGCATGGACGCACTTGAGGCAAAACTAGACAACCTCACCAATATCCTCACCCACCTTGCTTCCCAGGCTTCCGCTGCCGCACCACCTCCGGCAGCTCCCGAACCGCCTTGGCATCTCCGAATGCCCCCGACGGGATGCGTTATTTGGTGACATTACTGTCGCCTCAAAACTGGTCTTACGACCAAACCCCCCCGTTTGCGTTTAACGGAGATCGCAAACGCGGCCGCGCCTTTCCTATACGCGGTCAAAACCTACGCTCGGCTTGCCCCAGAGGCCTTCGTAGTTAACGGAGAGCCGAGCGAAGAAAAGGCCGTCCCGCTACGCCATGTCCTATATGGCGGAGGGACCTGCTCAGCAATGGGCAGAGCGTCATGGGAGCAAAAACCCCTTCCCCTTCCCTCGGTGGAGCCAGTTCCTCTCCGAGTTTCGCCTTCGGTTCGTCGAGGAGAACGAACAGGACCTCGCGCCGCTAAGTTGGAAAGCGCGGGTTATCACATGGGAACGCGGGATGTCTACGGATATACCGACGACTTCGAGGACTTGATGGACCTCGCTGGCTTCAAGACGCGTTGGTTAAGGTAACCAAGTACCGCCACGGACTTGACCCCTTGATCAACAACGGCATCACCTCTTCGAACGACCCCCCAGACCTCCGTGACTATCTGGGCTGGCGCACTCGGGCTTTCCGACAATATGAAGCCCTGGTGCGAGCGAAGCTCATTAAGGGAACGGCTACCCCGCGGACCACTTCGGGAGCTCCGCGCGGCGCCTTCCCCATCACTCTTTCGGCAACTCCGTTCCCCATCCGCCCGGTGGCCCCGCCTGTGCCACCCGCGGCCCGCGCCCCCGTCCCGGTACCTCCGGCTCCCGTCCCTATGGAGCTGGATCGTACTAGGGCTCGGGGTGCCCCTCGTCGAGCCTGCTTCAGATGCGGCGACCCCAAACCATTTGGCTCGGGACTGTCCGCTCCCCGCCGACGTCCGCCATGTGGACATCCTCGACGAGGTAATCCAGCAACTTGGCGATGAGATGCTGGGAGAGCTGCTTGCGCGGTTGTCCGATACTGCGGCCTTAGCGGAGGCGCATTCGGAGGCTCCGGCAGAGGATTTTGCCCCCGCGACGAGTGACTGGTGTGCCCTCGTTCGCGTCCATAAATCGTTTCACTTGTTTGTATGATGAATCAACTCCCTTGCCCTACAACGAGCCCGAAACGAAAGACGCACCCTCTGCCCCCTCCGAAGCCCCCCGTTCGGATTCGCCGACTTGCCTGGGAGAAAACGCTACCTGGCAGTTATACCATCTCTGCCGCTCCTGGCGTTAACTCGCTGCACCTCCCCCTTGAACTTGAGTCCACTGCGAACGCGCTCAAGCTCTCCCTCTCGGGTCTGGTCGACTGCGGAGCTACTTCGGACTTTATCGACACAGAATATGTCAACCGGAATAATGTGCCAGTCCGAAATCTCTCAGTACCCATCCCGGTCTACAACGTCGACAGCACCCCCAATGATGCTGGGTCTATTCGCCAAATCGCGGACCTCGTTCTACGGTACAACGGACACTCTGAACGCGTTCAGCTGGCTGTAACCCACCTTGGGAAACAGGACCTGATACTCGGATACTCCTGGCTCAAAAAGCATAACCCCGAGATCAACTGGGAAACAAAGGAGGTGAAAATGAGTCGTTGCCCCCGCAGCTGCTCTACCTGCCGTGACGAAGAGCGGACCGAACGCGCTGAGGTTCGGCGGCTCCGACTCCTTAAATCACGACTACTTGCGGGCGCCTTCCCCACTGTTTGCGCTATCGACATCGCTGGCCCAGATGATGCTGACGACGAGCTCGGAGCTGCTTCGGACCCTCCGGAGCCCTCACCAGATCTCGACGGCGACGAGCATCTTGAAGACGGCGACCGCATCTTCTACACCTCCTTTCGCCCAGTTGAGGAGATCCGCGCTGGCAGTACAGTGTCCCAACGCCTTGCAGAGGCCTTCGCCCGTAACTCGGCCCCTCCGCCTCGGAGATCCCGGACTGGGCCAAGGAGTTCCAAGACGTCTTCGACAAGGAGTCCTTTGACACGTTACCAGAACGAAGGGCTTGGGACCACGCTATCGAACTCGTCCCCGACGTGAAGCCCGCTAACTGCAAGGTGTATCCGATCTCTCCCCTCGAACAGCGCGAACTTGACGAGTTCATCGAGGAAGGACTTGCCACAGGCCGTATTCGCCCTTCGAAATCTCCGATGGCCTCCCCCGTCTTCTTCGTTAAGAAAAAGGACGGAGGGCTTCGGTTTGTCCAGGACTACCGCGCCCTCAACGCAATGACGATTAAGAACCGGTACCCCCTTCCGTTGATTAACGACCTTATCAACAGGCTCAAGGGCGCTCGTTACTTCACCAAACTCGACGTTCGCTGGGGTTTTAATAACGTCCGGATTAAAGAAGGAGACGAGTGGAAGGCGGCCTTTCGGACTAACCGAGGGTTGTTCGAACCTTTGGTGATGTATTTCGGCCTGACAAACTCCCCGCGACGTTCCAAACGATGATGAATGACATTTTCCAGGATCTCATTCTTTCAGGCGACGTTATGATCTACCTCGACGACATCCTTATCGCACATTCGGACCTCCGCAAAGCACCGCGAGATCGTCCGGGAGGTCCTTCGGCGGCTCGAATGCACAAGTTGTACCTTCGCAAGGAAAAGTGCGACTTAGGAAATCGTCAATCGAGTACTTGGGGGTCATTATCTCGCACAACCATGTCGAAATGGACCCCGTTAAGGTCGCCGGAGTCTCCGCATGGCCTCCGCCCGAAAACAAGAAGGACGTTCAGCAGTTCCTGGGGTTTGCTAATTTCTACCGCAGGTTCATTCGGGATTTCTCGGCCCTAGCGCAACCTCTCTTTGCGCTCACCAAGAAAGACCAGAAATGGACCTGGGGAGACGCCAGGCCGCCGCCTTTCAAGCCATCAAGGACGCGGTCGTATCAGAACCTGTCTTAGCGATCCCGGACGACTCTCGGCCTTTCCGACTTGAAGCAGACAG